CTAGTAAGGCACTTGTTACTAGAAGCGATGCACTTGTTCCTAGTAGCATCAATCATCTTTCACTCGTCTTCTCCCCGCCTTTGTTGAGGCCCAAAATGTTTTGCCACACCGCCGGAGAATAATCGAAGGAATAGATGGATGCGACCTCAAGGTGAAGTTTCACTTCATTGGCGAACGAAATCCAAAAAAAATAGATCAGACTCATCAGAGGGGCTTGCCAAACACACATAGGTGTTAGATCCTCAAGGCCGTGCGGAACCAGGTGTTTTACGACATGTCCACAGTGTGTGTAAATGCGACGTCGCATCCCAAGGTGCACTGTTCTTGCCCATCGTCTCCTTGAGTCCTGCGGGAAAAAAAAAATCTGCTAGTAATTACAAGTGCCTTACTAGTAGTAACAAGAAGCTATTAATTAGAATTCAAATTAAATTCGTATTGTTACTAGTAGTAAGGCACTTGTTTCTAATAGCAAACATTGTTACTACTAGTAAGGCACCTGTTACTACTAGCGAGGCACTTGTTCTTGCCCATCGTCTCCTTGAGTCCTGCGGATTGAATGTTGACTCCATGTGGAGTGGACGTTCGACTCTACTTGGATGGGTTACATATTGTGTTCATGATTTGTCATGTGTCTTTTCATGTGTTGGAGACCATTCCTATCAGGTTGGAGGCCATCGCAAGTAGTTGTTCATCTTGTTACAACTGAATGCTTCCATGGAACACATCTAAGAACATTTGGAAATGAAGTGGGAAGGCACCTTGCTACTAGTAGCAAGAAGCTACTAGTAGCTCCTGGCATTACTACTAGTAACAAGAAGCTACGAACATGACAAGGAGGCCCAGTAGAGTGTCGATTCCCGCCTGGCACCAGGTGGAAGTTCTGCTGCAGTCCAGCGGCGACGACCAGAAAGTCGTATTCCTCGGGATCGTGTCACCGACGTCGTAAGGAGGTGCTATTAGTGGCGATCGCTATTAGCTTCTTGTTCCTATAGTAGCTATTTGCTACTAGTAGTCAGGCCAGGAGCCCCTAGTAGCGTCCTTGCTCCTAGTAGCGATGCCAGGAGCCCCTAGTAGCTTCTTGTTACTACTAGCCATGGCCTGTAACCTACTAGCCATTGCCTCCAACCCTACTCGCAAACAAGTTCAAGAGAGAATCCAGACTTTCGCATCATCATTGCCACATGTTCGTTTGGCAAGTGATTGATATTTCGAGGGTATTCCTTGGTGTTCACCCTACCAAAAACGTCTTCCACCCCTAATTTGTCAGGAGTCAATCTCGTGACCACCAGCCAAAGTCAGCTTGTTCTGCTCCGGCTGAAAGGATAAGCACTTTTCCTTGATCCATTGGACGTGAGTGGGCATCACCTGACGAGAAAGCAATGAGTGGGTGAGCAACTACGATGAATCGAATTGTCCGTTAAGATGGCACCAGAGCATCTTTTGAATGATTGACGCTGTGGAATAACTTGAACAAACCACAACTGATACAGCACTGTCGGCTTGTCATCTCTGTGGAAGAAACTTCGACCTTGACTGCGATGGCCTCCAACCTAATTGCTACAAATAGCGTCCTTGCTCCTAGTAGCGATGCCAGGAGCCCCTAGCGTCCTTGTTCCTACTTGCTCCTTTTGCAGTTCAGTGACTTTCTCCATTGGATGAGCAGAGTTTTGGACCTCGGCGAACACATCTGGCCCCGTTGCGCAGTCGCAAGGCCCTCCTACGTGCCTTCGGCGGGCTCCACCAATCCGTTGATCCCTTCGGTGAAACGGAGAAGCGAAAAACGGTGCTCCCTTGGGTCACTGTCCGCAGTTCAAGCGAAACGGCCACTCTGACCGAGTGCGGCCTATGTCCGGTGCACTGGAGGGAGGCCTTCGCATCAAGAATGAGCTGGCGTCCAATCCGTTATTGAAAGGGTTGCTACGATGAATGGCAGCATCTTGACCTGCAATCAACTAGGAGGCGTCCAAAAGGCTACAGCTGTGCGTCTGAAGACCACTCTCCTTTGCCAAACTCCTTCGAACGCGATCCGAACCGAGATCGGCCTGAGTTGTCGTCCAAGTGACATCCAGTCCGAGACCACCCACCATGGTCCAGTAGGGCATGTAAAGATGCTGATCCTGGCAGAATTGGAAACAGAAAACCTAGAAGCGATGGCCTCCAGAGGCCAGCGATGGCCTCCAACCTAGAAGGAAGAAGGTGAAGAAGGAAAGAAGAAATCAATCAGAAAGCTACCATCTGCAGTCGTTGCAAGCAGAATTCCATCCAAAACCATCCATGAAACATCATCAAAACGTCAATCAAGCACAGCATATTCCTCCCACAACACGCCCTGTGCAGTTCGTTCCCACCCTGGGTTCGATCACCGCGATCTGGTCGTGTAAACCGGGAAATTTTCGACAGAGCTGCGAGGCGACCTGAGATGCGACTGTGGCGACACTTTAGACGCTCGATGAATCGATTCATCGATGCTTTTTCACGAGGACATGAGCCTTACTTGGTCCACAGGATGTCCGCCCCAAGATTTCAACAGTCACAAATCAAAAGTTCAAACATCGAATCAAAATACAATAGGGTCAGAGGACGATACTAGGAGCAAAGGGCATCGCTACTAGGAGCAAGGACGCTACTAGGGGCTC